TATACAATATACGCTTGAATATTTGATGATTCCTATTGCAAATCAACCTTGTCAATCGATGAAGGGACTTTGGAGATATAGCATTTAAATTAACAAACGCTCATAAAAATCTTTTTAATTCCTATTTGCTAATCCTTTTAACTTGGTTTTCAAAATTCTCCACTTTGAAAGTCAAAAAAAGAATTAACATTTATTGGTTTATTCATTTTATTTTAGATTACTCGTTTGTTTTGAATTTCTTAATATTAATATTAATTTTCATTATAAAAAAATTATAAGCCGATAAGGAAAGACTGAACAGAAAAAAGAACTGGATAAAGTTTGGGCGTTTTTATTATAATTGAATTGATTCACAAAAAATTGCCAAATTTGATACAATAATCAGCGGAAAAAACAATCATTTAAGTGCGTTTTTTTTATGCTGCCCAACAAATCAAATTTTGTAGATCCATGAGATTTACCACAATTCATCTAAATGCTCTTTATGCTGCCATTAATGTATAGAACAAAATGAATATATATTTGGTATTATTAAAAGCAATTATTCATTCAGTATAACGTTGTTTGCATTGCTGTTTACAAAAGCGATTTTTGCAGATATTCTATATGCTGAATCTGTTTGTTACAATGAAAAAAAAAAATTTAAATTAAATTCTAGACAAAGCCAATTACTCTACGAATCCAATTTAGAGTTTTTTGTGAAAATCAATTCTGAGAATCCACAGTGTAACCAGAGAACTTATACCAGTTACAACAAAAATACAACCAAGTGCTATGATAGGAACAGTGTAATTAATTCCAACTGGTCCAGAATCAGATCCAACAATCACAACAGCTTTTTTTGCAATGAAAAAAGTTGATAAAGCATCACGCTTGCTCGCAGCACCTTGCAATAAATTCGCTAATAAAACCAACCAAAATGGTTTGGTGAAGCTGTACCACGAAATGATGAGTACTAAGGATGTCCCCAAAATAACAATATCATCAAGTAGACATGTTGTTATATATCCAAACACGGATGTTGTACCATAAACAGCCACAGTGAAAAGAAGACCTAGAATAGGGAAGAACGTTCCTAGTTGAGAGAAAAAGCTGGGGTATATCTTAAGATCGTTATAATTTCCAACAACAGGACACGTAAAACCACTTTTTGATTGAGTTGGATCGCTTATCGGAAACTGTATTATATTGTTAGGAACAAGACTGCTTTGTTTTTGTTCAGCCGGACTTGGATTTTTTGCTGGTTCAGCATCTTGTGCGTTTGATGTGGAAATAAGACAAACAAACATAAGACAAAATAAATGGAAAATAAAAAGTTTTTGATAAAACCTGAACCGAAAAATTTTAAAGTTCATTGCAAAAATCATCCTTGAATAATCTATGAATAGATAATTCAAAATTTAATAAAAGAGGATTTACGCCTAATTTATATAAAAAAATCAACGATAAACATTAGTTGGTTGGTTGGTTGGTTGACAAATAAAGATA